AGCAGCTTCCAGATGCTAACATGCTAAGCACAGGACAGGTCCGCCGGGCGCCGCAGCCGAGTTTTCCACAGTGATCTATCCCTGTCGGGCAGGGCCAGGACGGTGGAGCCGGAGCCCAGCGGTTAGTCCCTGGCAGTTGGGAACACGGCCGGGTTCATGCCGGGTCCAGAAATAAATCCTCGATGTTTACATTCAGCACGGAACAGACAGCACGTTCGGATACACACATCCCAGAAGCCAGGGTACAAGCGAAAGAGAACAGAAACGAGGAGGTATGAATGCGTGTGCTCTCTTCTTATCACGTAAGAGTTGAACCGGGATGCTGTCAGCAAGGGCGAAGAATGTGTCTCAAGAGAGAACTAATCAGATTTCATCCACCCACTTTTGAAAAAATTATATAAAGAATCTTAAGAATCCAGATATTCTTTTATTGACTACAAGAAAAAAAATCAAGAAAAGTTTGTAGGACATATAGGCAGCTATTACTTGATCAGAATGAAATTATTATTATATCAGAGCATTTTTATCTTTGCTTGATGGGAATTCTTTGCGTGAGCCAAGAAAGCTACAGTTTAGTACCTAAGGTCAATCTTTTGCTCCTAAAGATTTTATGCCAACTGTAATTGAATGAAGGAATATCTAAAGGGTGATGGGTTTTCATACGGAGTAGAATACTAAAAATTGTTCCAAAACCAATCACCCTGGTGGGCTTTATCTATAGATCTCCCGAACAGGAGACTTACTCCCCACCAAGGGCTGGCTCTGCGTTCGGACTTTTCTGGAGCACAGAGCGGGGAGGCCGGGGGTGCGGCGACCTGACGTTTAGGGTTGGCGCTCAGGTTCTGCTGATGAGAAGGCAGTGCTAGGACACATTCTAACTGGTCAAGGTCACACTGGCGAGACCTAGTACCACAAAATATTAATTGTGGTGTGGAAACGTCAAGTGTTTCTTCTCGTCACCTATAACTTTGCCCGGAGAAGGGCAATGCCTATGAAATACCATGCCCTCCTTGAAATCACACCGCCCCCTCTACTCAGCACAGAATAGAAAGGAACCAGCCTTAAGATGCCATGAGAGAGAAGCCTGAACAAGGAAGACTGAGCCACAGCTGAGGCGAGGCACGCGCCTGAGCCCAGGCTCTGTCTCCACTTTGCTTTCCCTACGAAGGCATCAGCACTCCTTCTGGAGATGCACCCTCACCAGGCCACCTGGGCAATGCCCTGGCGGTTCCCCAGGGCTTCTGGTGATGATGCAATGCCAGCTCCCACCCAGTTCGGGTCCCTCCTTCCCTCCTTGATCCCCAAGCAAAACAGCACAATGCTCCTCCACTCCACCTGCCACCTGTCTTGTCCCACGCCAATGGGGAGAACTGTGGGTGCGGAGCGGACAGCAGGTCCTCCTGGGGACTGCTCAGTAGTCACCATGGCCTCGCCACCTCCTCCTGCAGCTGCACCATGCATCCGGCGTGCCCTGAGCCGCAGCTGCACAGTGCGGGAGACTGCAGGGTGCACTGGGCCCGCTCTTGCAGCTTAGCCTTCAGCAACTGCCTGAAGCACTCGTCCTCTGAGCCTGTTCTCCGAAAGTGGCACCTTGTCAACAGATGTCCCCTCCCCAGATGCCAAGCTCTGCCACCCATCTGCTCAGCAGCTGGGGAAGGAATTCTCACGATCCTTGGAAGGCTCTGCTTTCCAGGGGGAGTGAGGGCGAGGGGGGTCGCCTTGGCCAGGGCTCAGCTCCTGTCTGCGCAGGATTACGTGTAACTTAGACGCAAATCCTAAATGATGAGCAGTGTAGACTCACAGTAAAGGCTTAATACACGGTGGCCGTTCTCACACCAGTCACCACGGGACTGTGGTGGGCACACACTCCGAGGAGAGGCCTTGAATGTGTACGAGGTCCACTTGGTGAGACTGCCCATTGAGGGTTCACTTCTCAGCTGCGTGAAGGGACAGAGGAAGGCACAGCAGCTGCATCTTTCCTCGTTCACAGACTGAACACCGGTAAGGGAGGCACAGCTTTGCTGATTAAGTCAATGCAGACGTTTCAAAAGTTCTGCCCCTCCTACCTCATCCCGTGCTGACGTGAACCCCTGACAGAGGCGGCGCAGTGATTTAGGAAGCCGAGCGATGCAAGGAGAATGAGCATGTGTGAAAATGTGCTCTGTTTGAAATCATTCAAAGCAAATAGTTTGCTTTAAAACAGTGCATGTTCTTTGGGGTGACTGTGTTGGAACCGCCAGCGGAGGCCTCCAACCAGCAACTGGGCCCAAACACGGGACAGCACTTCGGCGTGGGAACCCCGGAGCCATGCGCGGCGCCGGCCCTGTTTGCAGCACCCAGTCCTTCCTCACCGGCTGCTACGCCTGTCGGGGCGGCGGGACCAGCGACCAGCTGGAACCACACGGGCTATTTCTGTGCATTGGATGTGAGTAAGTACAGGTCACAGTAAGCCAGACCAGGACATGAGTCAGATTATTATAAAGTGTTGAGAAGACCTGATCTCCAAGACATCCTGAAAGCATCATCCATGCTACACCCTGGAAAGGAGCTCTGGTGCGAAAGACACTTACAATTACTAAGCAAAGGAGAACTCCTGAAGAATATGAGTGATTAGAGTTGGCCAAAGGCCAACCAATGAAAAGAAATGGATGAGAGAGAAGCTGCAGTCTAGAGGTCTTAAAACTTAGAGGTAAAAGAAAGATTTATTACCAGCGCCACGCATTTCTCCAGCATTCTTTGGTCAGACGTATAGAAGTGGTTGAACATGGGCTTGCTTATTTTCCTTTTAAAACAAAACATTTTATCTGTAGAGCAACTTTCATGGGGACAAGTTAATGGTCCTAGGCTGGCTCTTTAAAAAAAAATCTATTGGAGCCCTGGCTGGTGTAGCTCAGTGGACTGAGTATGGGCTGCGAACCAAACGGTTGCCAGTTAGTCAGGGCATGTGCCTGGGCTGCAGGTCAGGTCCCTGGTGAGGGGCGTGTGAGAGGCAACCGCACGCTGATGTTTCTCTCCCTCTCTTTCTTCTTCCCTTTCCCTCTCTAACAAAAATAAAAAATAAAAATCTATTGGCACTGAAGTGTAAAGCTATGAAAAAAGATGTCTATCTATAGCACTATTTATAGAAAAGATACTGACCATCAAAATATCCACAAATTAGTTAAATAAACTTTGTTATGTTCCTTTGGTGGCGCTAAGCAGCTATTAAGTGGAATGAAGTAATTTAAATATACTGGCATGAAATGATGTCTGTGATAGACTGCTAGGCAAAAACTGAGTTGTGGGGTGGGGAGAAAATGCAGGGAACCATAATTGAACAACAATAAAGTAATAAAGTAATTAAAAAACCCTCAGTTGTACAAAACGTGCACAGTGCTCATGGGTCTGTTAAAGATGATACAAGTCCAAGAGGTCTCTAGGGGGCCAGAGAAAACCGTTACTAATTGTTATTTGTGACAGAGGGGGATTTTTGTATAGCCTACTCATCGTTTGAATCCTTTACCGTAAACATTACTTTTATAACAGAAAATAAAGTCAACAAAGACATTTATGAGAATAGTACTGACTTGACTTTCACTGTAAGTACAATGTTCTCGGCGGCCTCCGGGCAGCCTAACAGCCCTGGAGTCCCCGACCAGGCGGGTGAAGGCGCAACCAGGCAGCGCCAAGCTCTCGAGTCTGCGGGGGCTGCAGTGCAGTGAGTGGCTCTGAAACGCCCTGAGAAGGGAGGGCGTGCAGACCGCGGAGGCCCTTTATTTGCCCTGTCACAGGCCCTTGCTTTCCAGCTCCTGTGGCCTCCGCAACCACACTGCTGCTCCAGGAGCACTGAGGGAGTTCATTGCGTGACCATAACTCACGGCCCTGACCCCCGACAGCTCTCGATTATGCGTAACCACGATTACGGGTAACCACGATTACGGCTCCGCCCCGGCACGCCAGCACTCTCAACACAGTGCTGTTCTCGCAGTTCAGGGGGGATGAAGAGCCGTCAGTGAAAAGTGACGGCAGCAATTCATCTGCTCCACCCTGTCACTCTCAGCAAAGCCTGGGGGAGCCCTCTTTTGTTTCAAGGGCCCGGATGAAGGGAACTTGACCTGTCCCTGTGACCACAGGAATCCATCACGGTGCCCTCCTGGCCAGGAATTTCCTTTCTCCAAGTAAACTGTGTCCGCTGGTTTGCCCCAGATGTCCCCTCTCTCCAAGAGGGTGGGAGAGAGACCAGGCCCATCCGTTTTACCACAGTGCCAGGGTCTGGAAACAGTTACTGACTCAGCCAGTTACTGTTTCCTGAAGGCCAAAGACACTCAGAGTTGCTGTTCTTCACAAGCATTTTATACCCTTCAGCGCCCTCTGAATACCTTCCAGTCAGTCTCTCCTCCCTGCCCCGGTTGCCCCTAGGCAATTCCTGGTCATCCTGAGGGTTCTGGCTCAAATGCACGTCCTCTGGGGAGCCTTTCCCAACACCCACAGCCAGCCAGCCAGGTCCCCTTGTTCTTAGAGTGCTCATGCCAGCTCTCATTGCCCATTTATTTCCGTGAAAACTTGACTAATGTCTGTCTTCCCTCACAGAACAGAAGCTCCTCAAGGGCAGAAGCTGCACCTGTTTTTGCTGCACCCTCGGCGCCCATGTGGTTCAGTGTCCGGTGCCAAGGCCATGGCTGCAAATGCTTACTTCACAGAAGGATGCTGAGGAGGCAACTGGGTGGATCATGTACCACTGGGGAAGGGAGGGAGGAAGAGCAGCTGGGAAGCCCCTCTCCCTTGTTGTCATTAGTTTGCCGCATTTATTTTTTTGGTATATGTGTCTAAGTGAATGGTTAGCTGGACTTGGTTATTTCTTAGGGCTCCTTCAGCTCTGGACCCTGGTGCTGCCCAGGGGTGCCAGGGGTGTCCTGAAGCATGGAGAAAATATGATAGGAACAGAAATCTGCAGCCAGCAGCAGAGACCGCCTCACCAGCACGAGGTGAGGGGTGAGGGGTGAGGCGGGGCGGGCACTGACCTCGGCTGATGCGCTGCTTCTCCCCGGACAGGATGCCGGGGCTGTCGATGATGCTGATGCTCTTCAGGACCTGATTGGGCAGCTGGGAGCACATGAATCTGGAAGAAACGGATCACAGGGGGTCAGAAGCTGCACTGCAGAGTGTTCTAAAGATGAGCTCCTTTCCTTTCCGGGTTGCCTACGTGGTCTGCTGTATAGCGGGGACTTGCAGGGGATCAATGGGACCTCCATCGGGGGTGTTGCCGTCCACGGGGCAGGTTATGAGGGGGGCCCTGGCACCCGTGGCTAACTGCCACCAGCTCCATATTGTTTATTGTAGTTTTTGCTAATATCTACTGAACACCTAGGTATTTTACAGCATCATCTCATTTGCTCCTCACGTTAACCTCAGAGGAAGAAACCGTTAACCTCAGAGAGGTTAAGTAACCTGCTCAGGGTCACTCAGAGTTGGACCTCAAACCCAGGTCAGCCTGACCCCAGAGCCTGTCAGCCTCACCTGCGCCTCTTTTATGCTGCTCCTGGGCCAAGTGACCTGTACTTCTCCTCCCAGGACACCCATGCCTCCTTCAGGGTCAATGGCCCATTGGACTGGAGCATCTCGAGCTCCCTGCCAGACCCTGCCCCATCCCTAACGTGACCTTGGAGGTTGGGGGTCTGTTTTCACTGTTGGATGCCCTGAGAACTCAGCACCCAGCCTGGCACTTGCTGTGGCTTCAGCTCAGGGTGCAGCAGGTACCTGTGGGCAACCCCCAAACCCTCCAGGTGCTTCTGAGTCCTAGGGGTGCTCTACGAGTGCACGAAGGGGCAGGTTGGGGAAGGCCCTGGCCAAGCGTCTCCCAGCCTCGTTCCTTGTCCATCGCTCTCCCTCCTTCTGCTTTCCCTCCCTCCCTGCCCTTGGTTCTGGTCGGCTGCCCTGGCCTGGGCCTCGCAGAGGTAGAGGGGAGAGGCGAGAGAGCTGTGGCCTGCGGCTCGGCAGTCTGGGGTCAGGTTCAGCTCAGCCTTTGCCAACAAATTGCTGTGGGACCCTGGACAAGGACTTCCTCCCTCCGGGCCTCAGTTTCCTCACGTGTAAATGCAGACACCTGGGCCAGGAGCTGGTGAGTCTTTTTAGCCCCCTACTGTCTAACCCTCGAGGAACAGGGGGAAAGGCTTTGTTCCCTGGCAGCAGAGCCGAGGTGACCTTTTTTAGGCCCTGTGTATGTTTTAAGGTGGAAACTGCATAGGAAAAGGAAGCCCCTCCTTTTCCTATATTGTCAGCGCTAACTTCTGTATCTGTGTGGGCAGAAAGCTTGAAAACCCTGGTGGAAGCTCAATTCTTCCATTCAGTGGAACTGATGGGATAACTCAGAAAGTAAATATGCTGGGAATGCGGGACCCAGCAGAGGGCCGAGTGGGCAGGGCGGGGGCCTGGGGCAGCTCTGAGCTTTTGCTGTGACTACTGACCTTTCGAGACAACCTGTTTTGAAGGTGCTCGGGACAAGTTTCTCAGACCCTAGATTTTCAAGTCAGCTCGGGATGGCAGAAGAAAGACACTATGATCATTTTGTAGCTAGAAAAGTTGAAGCACAAAGCAGTCATGACATCTCGGGGTCACGCGACACGCGTGGCCTGAGGACACAGCCTAGCAGTTCTGATGTCAGTTGAGTAGACTCAACCAATAAAGTTAAAAATCTCCTAACATGAAAAATAAAGGGTCAAGTTAGTTTAGGAGAAGCCCCTCCGGTCCCCTCCGCATTTACACACGTCACACCGCTCACCACTCAGAGAGATCTGTGAGAGCAAAGTGCTCTCACGGGGACCACCGAGCGCTCTCTGAGAGTTCGAAAAATAAAGCCACACTATGTTCGAGTCTCTAGAATTGGGGCAGGAACGGAGTTCTGAGCACATCTGTGGTGGACGGCCATTCTAGTCAATAATGATTCAGTCTCTTACACAGTCTGTCCCTTCCATCAGACGGCTGGAGGCATTCGGCAATCTGAAAAAAACTGCACGAATGTGGAAAAGCCTTCCTGGGAGAGCCCGACCTTTTTGCAAAACTGCTTAATACCAATATTTTCTAAACACAACCTCCCTGGATTCTACTGAAAAGTTAACAAAGGGATTAAAAAATCTGTAAACTGTCCACTCCCTCTTGTGCAAAGTGACAACGTTTCACCACTTCCATTGCTCCTGACACATCGGCAGGGCAAAGCGTCGTCCGAGACGCAGCCACATGCGGTGAAGTTCCCACACAATAAACTGGGGCACAGCCGGCTTCAGGCCTGGAAGATGGGCGGAGGAGGGGACTGCAGAAAAAAGGAGGATAAACGCTCTCTGGAGCGCTCTCTGGAACAGAGAGAGAAGATGCTAACATTTTTAATTCAAGGAGGGATGGGAAGTGAAGGGAGGTGGGAGGGGAGGGAAGCAAAGGGCGCTCTGCGGGACACCGAGAGAGGGCGTGGCTGGGACTGTGTGCGGGAAGAAAGCGGATGGGGGAGGGGTTGGGGGGGGCACAGCGTGCAAGTCGTGGGTCAGACCCCTTGGGGTCGGAGCCACATATACGTTTTCTTAAATAACTGTAATCAGAAAAGAACCTGAACGCAATGCTGTTGAAGCAAACCTTTCAGGCTCTAAGAAAGGAAGATAAAAAGCAAGGCTATTGGTTGGGTAGGTCCCTCAGCCGCGGTCAGGCTTTTGTGCGCTGCTGAAACGCTTCTTAGCCGATCCGCTGTCCCAGGATTTCCCCCTCCTCCCCGCTGTGACTAACGCAAAGCGTGTCCATGCCCTGCCTCCGGCATTTCACATGAAATATGCAGACATGCGCTAGTTAAGCCCCGGAGCCTCACACAAACTTTTATAAAGGGTCTTCCTCGCCCAGGGCTGACCTGATACATTTTATTTTCTCATGAAAGGAGGACAGGAGAGGGCCAAGACCTACTCTGGACACCCCCCCCCCCATTACCTGTCGCCCCACAACAAAGGCAGGCTCAGGGGTGACAGGGAGCCAGTAGGCAAAGGAATGGTCTGGGTTGTAAGGCCCGAGGCCAGTGGCCGGGTGCCCAGTGGAACAGAACGACAGGGGGTGAGAGGGTCAGGGTTCCTAAAACTGCTTCCAAACAATGACACCCCAATTCGCAGGTCAACACTTTAAAAGAACTAGGCATCACCTTAACGCTGCTGTTGATTCCCAAACAATGTAGCGATGTTTAGTAGCTAACTCACTCAGTCCCCACCATGGCCTCAGAAGTAAGGGCTCCGTATTATTTTGCAGAGACTGGGCCACAGAGGAGTCAGAGGCCACTGCTTGCGCATCCCAAGGCTGGTAAGAGACGAGCTGCTGGGACGCTAACCTAACAGTTCTGACTCCAAAGCCCAGGTTCTCACCTACTAGGCTGCTCCTACCATTCCATGCGTTTGAACTACCGCTGTGTACCTTTGTCACACAAAGGGCAACATCCTAAAATGAAAGAGTGATGTGCCGTCCTCCCGAACTCCCCACCAAGAGGCCTGCGGTTGACTCCTTCTCAGCCCCATGTGCAGGGTGGGGGGCGTGGGGGGTGTCGCGGTAAACAGGAGGCAGAAGACCCAGGCTCTGGTCGTCTTCCTTGCTCACCCACCCTGTGACCTCCTGTGGGTCTCTGGGCAATTCTGAGGACTCCCGGGTTGTCATCAGGTTCAAGTACCTAAGCCTCAAAGGAGAGAGCATGGAGCTGCTTAAAAGCATCTCCTTTACCTGCTCGCTTTACTGATAAGTTAGACCACAGAGATGACATGATTTCCAATTTATATAGCAAATACTATACAACATACAAAAAGACTTTGACAACTAACCTACAGTAATTTTATATGACCTTACCACCTATGGCAGATCTAACCTTGCTCTGCCCAGGAGGAATTTATTTTAAATCCACACTAGAGCCCTGGCTGGTGTGGCTCAGTGGATTGAGCATTGGCCTGCGAACCAGAAGGCCACCAGTTCAATTCTCAGTTGGGGCACAAGCCTGGGTTGTGGGCCAGGTCCCCAGTGCAGGGTGAGTAGGAAGCAACCACACATTGATGTTTCTCTCCCTCTCTTTCTCTCTCCCTTCCCCTCTGTCTAAAAATAAATAAATAAATAAACAAACAAACAAACAAACAAATAAATAAAATCTTAAAAGAGAATAAATCCATACTACAAAAAGCCCAAGGTTACTGCTAGGCCTTAATGGAATTATCACTTTCACAAGTAAAAGATGGGTGAGTACTGGCGATCTCAAGTGGTCCAAGCTCAATATGTACATCTGTAAAGGAGGCCTCGTTGTCCTGGGGGAAGGGGGAGGCTGGGTACAGTGGGCCTGTTTGGGCTGGTGCCGGAAGGTCTGCCTGAGCCCTGGCACGAAAGCTGGCTTTCTGCAAGGTCAGGACCAGCCCTGGGCAGGCAGCTGCCCATAAAGAACAACGATGTCATGACCTGGGGGCCACCACAACCCCGAGATAACAGACTGGTGGGAAGAGCTTCAGGGAGTTTATTATGGATAAGCATAGCACACACTCAAAAAACAATTAATGACTCAGATTAAAAATTTTGATGGTGAATCAAGAATTATTCTTGGCAAGAGCCCATTTCCCTTGATCTCTGCAGCTGAAGTAGCTGATGGAGCCAGCGTGTGTCTGGGCTGACGCTGGGTCCTTGTATTAAGTTGGTTTTTAAAAAATTCCCAGTGTTCCAAGTGACAATGTAATACTCGTAATCTAAACAACATCTATTTTACGAAGCCTCATTTAATTACAAACACGGAGGTAATAGCATGTACGTCCAAAAACACACATATGCATTCTATTGTTGCTAAATTGTCACACCAGGGTAAGACAGTGTTTCTTTCTCATCCCCATCCTCAGGCCTGGCTAAAATGACAGGCACACTAACAGTGCTGTGCAGATTCCTTCCGTTTAAAAGGAAGTCTCAGAATTTAATCCCTAAGGCCAATGGTTAGTGTTATTTTTTAAAGAAATCGAGGTAATAAAGAAGGAAATGAAATTAAGAATTTCTTTTGTGGAAGACTACAGTTTAACATTATATACTTTATGCTAAACTAAAAACAATGTCTGTAGTTATCTGAATTTGAAAAAAAGACTAACATTTTTGGAAAAGTAGATTAAAGGAGACGCATCACGTCCCATTCAAAAGCAGACTGGAGGGCGAGACGCCGGACGCCGATTCCTTGCCCCGTCAAACTGACCAAAGCACACTTGGGTCTGTGTCCCAGGGCTCAAGGCCCCACGGTGCTGTTGGTCCGTCTGTTCCCCCCTCTGTGACGTGGGACTCTCTCCTGATGACAGACTTTGTAACCTCCATAACCACATTCCCGTGTGGCAGCTCAGAGGCAGCCCGCCTGCGGACTTCCTCACCGACGTAGAGCGACGCTGCAGAACGTCGCATTTGAGCCGCTCCCACAGAGCTCTTCTTGTTCTGGACTCTACTCCTGTGCTTTTGTTGTTCGAGTACAAGATTTCTCCAATGTGAAGCTGCCTTTCGGGAAATTTATCTTCATTTCTCAAAAATGCACTGTCGCCCTGGCCTGTGTGGCTCAGCTGGTTGGAGCATCATTCCGTGGCCAAGGGATCATGGCTTGGGTTCCTGGTCAGAGCACATACCTGAGTTGGGGGTTCGATCCCCAGTCAGGATGCATTGCATTCGGGAGGCAGCTGATTGATAATGTTCCTGTTACTCTCTCAAATAAGAATACAATAAATCTTTAAAAAAATGCACTGTAGACTCTCTGTTCCTTTCTTAGGATTGAAACTCAGGATCCACTGGTTTGCTTAACGCTTTGGCGCGGGTGGCACGCTCCCGGTGCCACCTGGCACTACCACCTCGGGAAGTACGAGATGCTGTTAAAGAAGCTGCTGCAGGCAGACGTCCAGGCCGGCAGCCCGTGAAGAGGGGCCAGGACAGTGGAACCTGCCCCATGGGTGAGGCGGCTGCTCAGCGTGGGAGGGGAGCTCTCCACAGCAGGCAGACCGTTCTCTTTTCTACTAAGTACTGCACTTTGACCTCATTCCCAGAAAGTATGATATGTCAAAAGAAGTTTGCCTGCCTTTGGAGGGAACCTGTTGATATTCCCACAAGGATGCTAAAATCGCACACACACATCTGAGCGCCTGACATTAATGGGCATAAGTCCTGGGGTGAAACTGCAGCATTTTCGTCACAGTGGGCTATATTAAGAATGGCCTTAAGAGTTAGATAGGGGGGAAGGAAGCGATGGTTCTCAGTCTAAACATAGCATCATCGGGCAGCTCAGGACAGTTGTCACTAGCAGGATGCTGGGCCAGACGGCCTGGGTTCTAATCCCAGCACTGCCACTTAGCTGAGTGACGCTGTGGAAATTAAATCACCTGTCTATGCAGCAATTCTTCCCCTCTGTGTGGGGGATGACAGTAGCGCCCAGTCAAGGGGTTTCTGCAAGGGTTTAGAACTAATATACAGTTAGAACAGTATCTGATAAGGTAAATGCCATGTAATTATTTGCTATTATTTCTTTTGATGTATTCCGAATTCAGTTAACAACTCTTGATTATATAATGCATGGATTTTCAGCAAGTTTTCAATCCTGAGATAATGAACCTTGCCATTCAAAAATCTTTCCTAAATGCTTTGTTTTCATACTCATCTGCTAAATGTTTGGGATTTTGGGGAGGAGGAGCCTGTGGGAAAGTAAATCACCTGCCGGAATTAAACAGGCCGAAAACCTCTCTTCCTGGCTTGTTCCTTGTGAACATGGACCTCACGGAATGAGACCCTGAATAAAGGCCCAGCTCACTGCTTTCTCACGCCTCTGTCAGGCAGGCAAGAGTAAGTCTACGGGCAGTGGTGACGAACACACAGGACTCCAGGCCGCCTTCCACGAAGAAGGGCGCTGTGCCTGCGCTTCCTTCCAGGGCCAGTCTGGGGACCGGAAGCCTGGCTCCTGCTGCCCCGTGACCGTGGCTTCCTGGGAGGACCTGCTGGGGGAGCCTGTCGTCCCACTTCCCCTCAACTGCGGGCCACTCCTTCCCAGTCCTTCCTGAGAGACCCTCTGTGGTTCCCCTGCCTGGGCTGGATCAACCCCTACTTCTCCCACCAGGAGATGCTCTGGTGCCAACCAATGATGCTCTGGAGTTGAGGAATGGACCGCAAATAACTGTCAGCAACAAGAGGAAATTTCTCTGTGGCTCTGTGTACATCATCAGCACCATTCTATTTATCCTACTGCCAAGCTCCCTCCCTGCCACTTAGGTGCTTTCTTTAGTCCGCAGTCGGAGCATAAAAAAGCCCTTAAAAGAGAGTATAGATCCCTGGAGAGTTCAGGGTTTCCCAGAAGGCACCTGTGGAGGTTGCCTGGGCCACTGGGCCACCGCACATACCCAGGCACATCGTCCATCCCACGGCCCTTGTGAATGGTACCCCCTGGAGTTGTGCAATGAGATGCCTCAGCTTTTTGAGACAACAGCAGTCAGCTGGGAGGATACACTCCTATTTTTTTTAAAAATTGAAACAGGAGAAGTGCAGTTTAAGTCTCTTGTCTGTCAGCTCCAGGCCCATAGGGCACAGCGGCACCCGGAGGGCCTGCTGGTGTGCTCTCTGCCCTCACCTCTCCGCACCTCCAGCCCCGTTTCACTGGGAGCTCTGGGGAAAGGTCACGGGGCAGCACATAGGAAATGCACCTCCAGCGAAGGCACAGCTTCAGCTATCCTAGGACTTCACATCTATAAAATAATGCCTATGTGTGAAAATCAGCTTTTTTGTGTGCTGTTTTGGCTCTATTTCCCCTGCTCTGCTCTAATACAAAGGAAGCAGCTCAAAGCATGGGGGAGAGAAGCACAGGGGACAGCCGGGGAGGTGTGATGACCTCTTCTGCAAAAATCAACAGACTGAACCTGGGGGTCCGGCGGACCTCGGGGGTCCTTTGGACCAAGCTGTGTTCCTACACAGCCTCCTACGGCCCTGGCGCTAGGCCTGGGCGCTGGCATCCAGCCGCCACGTGACATTGCCAGCAACGCAGAGCTCACACCTCAGGAGGTGACATGAACCATCTCTGTGGTTCAAACGACTAGAAATTTATTTCTTGTACTGTGTGGTTTTATAATATCTAATCCAGGGCCTTGGCTGCCCTTTGAAGCCAGTGATCATTTCCTATGAAAATCTTTCAAATATTTGAATACCATAAGCATATTCTGTATAACGTCTCTCTTCTACAACAGACATGCTGTGTTCTTCTGTTTCTGAACCTTTGCATGTAATTGGAAAGAATTCAAAGAAGAGTTTTAAATAACCTGACCAAAGATGGTCAGGTTGCCGGTCCTTACCGATTCAGGAAAGCATTTCCAAAGCGACTAAGTTTTCGAAATGGCTTTTTGGGGTCCACGACCAGAGCATTCCCTGGGGTGCTGCCCTCGGTCTCCCCGTACATCACGGCGATGAAGGAGTCGGTGGTGGGCTCCGGGCCGATCCTCATGCCGGGGAAGTCTTGCTCCAGCAAGTACCTGTGGGGGGAGAACGAGACTGAGAGCTCTGGGAGACAAGTCTGAGGTGCCTAAGAATCACGGTCAAAGGTCAGCGTGCTTCCTGGGCCCACCGATTTTTAACAAAAATCATATCAAAATCCAGAAATATACCCCCCCGTAAAAGGAGAATGATTTATTCTTCTGCTAATAATGATTTTTTAAAAAGATTTTGTTTTATTTTTTACAGCTTTATTTATTTATTTATTTTAGACAGAGGGGAAGGGAGAAAGAGAGGGAGAAAAACATGGATTGGTTGCCTCTCGTGTGCCCCCAACTGGGGACTTGGCTCACAACCCAGGCATCTGCCCTGAGAATCGAACCAGCAACCTTCTGGTTTGCAGGCTGGCACTGAGTCACACCAGCCAGGGATGATTTTTTAAAGCTTAAAATCTATAGACCGACTTCCGCCAAGATGGAGGCACAGGTGGAGACGCCATGCTTTCTCACACAACCAAGTTTAGAGGCAACTAAATATTAGCAACAGAAAACACAGCCAGAACACAGAAAATTGAACTTTTCGGAAGTCTGATAACAACAAATTCTTCAGCCTGACCGGTAAGAGGGGCGAAACCAGCAGCCGGTAGAGTGGGGTTGCACAGGAAAACTCCGTCAGACGGACTCAGACGCACGGAACCCAGGCGCAGGGTTGCAACGGGTGGACCTAGTAAGCGACTCAGCGAGCGCCTGCGGGGAACCAGCGAGGGAACAGGGCCGAGATTTGACTGTGGTCGCGCATTCATGTGCAGATAGACCAGCGAGGGAGTGGGCGGTGAGATGGGACCCAGCAGGCCCCAGAGGCAAGCGGCAGCAGAGGGCACCGCCATTTCCCCGCTCTGACCCCGCCTCCACATACACCGTCATAACCCAGCGACCCGATTGGCCCTGCCCTGGTGAACCACCTGAGGCTCTGCTCCTCACCCAGCTGCATGAAACAGCAGAGGGGGCCGCCATTTCCCCGCTCTGACCACGCTCCCACATACAGCGTCACAAACCAGTGACCTGGGAGTCCAAGGCTCCGCTCCTCATACTTAACGGGCATGAACAGACCAAAAATGGCGCAAGAAGATCTCAAAGCCCCAGAGCCTATAAATCTAAGTGATGAAGAAATAGCAAAACTCTCAGACGCACAGTTTAAAACACTGGTGATCAGGATCCTCACAGAACTGGTTGATTATAGCCACAAATTAGAGAAACATATGAAGGCGAAACTAATTGAAATGAATGGAATTGCACAGGACACCAATAGCAATGAAAAGGAAACTGGGACTCAAATCAATGGAGTGGACCAGAAGAAAGCAAATAATGGCCAAACAGAAAAGAGTGAAGAAGCAAGAATTCAAAAAAATGAGGAGAGTCTTAGGAACCTCCAGGACATCTTTAAACACTCCAACATCCGAATTATAGGGGGACCACAAGGGGGAAAGGCACAGCCACCAGTGGAAAACTTATCTGAACAAATAATAAAGGATAATTTCCCCAATCTGGCAAAGGAAATAGACTTCCAGGAAATCCAGGAAGCTCAGAGAGTCCCAAAGAAGTTGGACCCAAGAAGGAACACACCAAGGCACATCATCATTACATTAGCCAAGATTAAAATGAAGGACAGAATCCTAGAAGCAGCAAGACATAAAGGGACAGTCACCTACAAAGGAGTCCCCATCAGACTGTCAGCGGATTTCTCAAAAGAGACCTTCCAGGCAAGAAGGGGCTGGAAAGAGGTATTCCAAGTCATGAAATCCAAAGACCTACAACCAAGATTGCTCTATCCAGCAAAACTTTCATTTAGAATGGAAGGACAGATAAAGTGCTTCTCAGATAAGATCAAATTCAAGGAGTTCATCATCACCAAGCCCTTATTATATGAAATGTTAAAGGGACTTATCTAAGAAAAAGAAGTTAAAAAACCATGAGCAGTGAAAGGACAGCAAACTCATAGTTATTAACAACCACACCTAAAACAAAAGCAAACTAAAAGGACAGCTAGATCAGGAGTGGAAACATAGAAATGAAGATCTCAAGGAGGGTTAGCAACAGGGGAGTGGGAGGAGGAAAAGGGGGGAGAAGGTACAGAAAATAAGTAGCATAAACGGTAGGTAGAAAATAGATAGGGGGGAGGGCAAGAATAGTATGGGAAATATAGAATCTAAAGAACTTGAGACATGTGGTCATAAACTAAAGGGGGGATGGTGGGGGAGGGGTGTGCAGGGTGGAGGGAAATGAAGGGGGGAATAGAACTGTAATGGCATAATCAATAAAAAAATTAAAAAATAATAAAATAAAATCTATAGACCCCAGTGTAGGAAGCCTAGTGAGGTTGGACATCTTGCAGACTGACTCAACCTCCTCCTAAAAGCAGTCTTTGCTCAGCACGGCCATTCTTGTTTGTGGTCCCATCGTGCACCTGACACTACCCCAGAGGCGTGTTTTCAGCCAGCTCCTCTGCATCCTGCAAGACCCTCCTTAGGCCCACTTCCTCTAGGAGAGTGTCCCTGTCCCTCAAGTGTGTTGGGGCTGCCTCTGCTGTGGGCCCCAGGCCCCCTTGCCTAAACCACCCTGGTGCTCACATGGGTAAGATACTTCTTCACTTGTTGTTCCTCGAAGGCAGGCCCATATCTGTGGTGGATGTGTATCCCCAGCACCCAGCACCCAGCACTGTGCCTGCCCACAGAGGGCACTCCATATACTGAATGAAATAATGAACCCTCTCCTTCCTTGTCACTGACAGCCTATGAGGATGGCACATCGTACCTTGTGTACTTACAACTCCCTTGAGCTTCTGGAGGCTGTAGCCCTGGAAGACAATTTCTAAATAATTCAATAGCAACAGGGGCTGCCATGAGGCTGGAGGTGAAAGGGGGGAACTCAGACTAGATATCACCAGGGCCCTTTGTGCAAAATGAAAAAAGAAGCCCTTTCTTCTAGGCAGACACAGCCCTATCTGTGCCAGGGCTCACATCTTAGCAAGGAGGACTCTAGCTGGATTTTACCCGGGACGTGTCCCTTTGCCCAGGGGCCCTCATACAGTTTAACCCTCATGTAGTTTAGCACACAGTGGCCCTAGCAAATGTCATTGAGGATTCTCATTCAGTGGGCTGAGGAGACCAACTGAGGTGACACAGGGCATAGGCCTGGCTCAGGGACATGCTGGGTGGGGCAAGTCTACTTTCTGTGGGAACTGACTGAGCCCTAACACAGCTCTCTTCACCCGCCACCCACAATTCATTCAGCCGAAGCCGCTTAGAGTCCTTCCCTCTGTCCCCACCAAGATTCCCTCCTTTCCATGATGTGGGGGCCCGGGCTGGACGGCTCAGTTGGTTGGAGAGTCGTCCCCCACACCAAAAAGGGTGTGGATTTGCTCCCTGGCCAGGCACGTGCCCGGGCTGCATGCTTGATTTCCCACCAGGGAGTGTTCGGAGGGCAACCCATCGATCTTTCTCTCTCCCTTCCCCTCTCTCTAAAATCAATAAAACATATCTTTGGGTGAGGAATTTTGAAAAACCTTTAAAATGTGGGTAATTACACTTTTTGAAATCTACCCTTAGGAAAAATTTTAGATGCATGAAAAAGATTTCTGCATGAAGATGTCCACTGCAGCATTATCTATAACGGCAAAACATTAGAAAAAAAAATTGTGTTCGCTTTCCCATAGCTCTTATTCCCTTTATCCTAATATAAAATGTACTTGTTTATTATTTTATGATCTATTCTGTCTCCCCTGGTAGAGTGTAAGCCACAGGAAAGTAGGGCTTCTTGTCCCTCCCATTCACTAGTGCTTCCCACGTGTTTGGAACCATCTCTGGCACTTGGTTGAGATGGTCGACAAGTACTCGGTGACAAAGCAGCCTCTCTAGTCTGTCTGACACCCCTGCCCCTTCCTCTCATTTCCCTGCTCACAGCGAGTATCAGTATCTGAAATCATCTCATGTGACCTCGCACGTGACTGTCACAGGATGTTAGGAGCATGTGGAAAGAGAGGACCGTTGTCTGCAGCTCACCATGTTATCCCAGCATCTAACAGTGTCTGGCACATAGTAGGTGCAGAACCAGTATCTGTGGACTCACTCCTTGTGCCCTCATCCAGGTGGCCACCTGGCTCTGGCCTCCCCGCTTCACTTCCCTGCCTCCTCGTCACGCCTCATTCGGGCTCTGGTCACGCCACACTTCCCAGCGGCCTCCCGGCCTCCCTCTCCCCCACCTGCCCTTGGAGACCAGACCCTTTTTCTAGAGCAGCACTCCAACAGCCTGGTCCTTCCCAGGTCACTTCCACGCAGGGACCCTCACAAGCCACCCCTTGCAGTCTGGGCTCTTGCTCCTCCCGTACAGTGGACATTTCCTTCCTTTTTTTCTTTTTAAATTCTCACCTGAGGACAAGTTTATTGATTTGAGAGAGAGGGAGGGAGTAGAGAGAAAGATGGGAGAGGGAAACACCGATTGGCTGTCTCCTGTGTGAGCCCCCACCAGAGACTGAACCTGTAAGTATGTGCCTTGACCAGGAATCGAACCCTGAACCTTCTGGTGTCCGGGACAACTGAGCCACCTGGCCAGGGCTCTTCCCTTTCTGATCAGCCTCTTCTAGGCCCAAAATTCCAGCCTCCATCTTCCCTCACTTCATTTCCTCCATCTGGTAGGGAATCATGTCTCACGATTTCTACCACCGATCCCACCGGCTCTTTAAGCTGCTTTACTGCCCCCGTCGGGGCAGCCCTCCCTGACCACCCAGGACCTTGCTTACCCCCCCAACCCACACCCCCCACCTCACTGTCTCTTGAAACCTTCACGGAACACTTAGTGTTGGTGTTATTGGTGGGCCTATTTCCTCCCTTCTGATAGGCTGTCATTTCCTGCAGGGCACATTCCACTCTCAGAACTTCAGAGCCTCGGAGTCTGCTAGGAATCATTTGGTTTCAGCCCCATGTCTGTACTTGTGAAGAGACTGAGGACGGGGCAGGAGTGTGACCTGCTGCTGGTCAGACTCGCTG